CCCCGCCCCCCGCGCGCCCTCCCGCCCGCGCTCCCGGACACCCACGGCCCGTGTCCCCTCTGTCCCCACGCGGGCCTCTCCCAGCTCTGATCCCTCGCCCCAGCCCGACTCGGCCCGATGCCCCCCCCCCACGCGTCGTCCCGCACCCCAGCCCTCTGCCCGCACCCCACCCCTGTCCGGACCCAGTACCCACTCCGCCCCCCGCTGCCAGAAACAGTGGACACGGAGAGGCAGCCCGCCAGGATTGTGGGGGTGGGGTGGGGGCAGCACCAGCCCGCGGGTGGTAGCAAGGGAACAGATGCAGCCAACCCGGGAGCTCCACAGCCATCTGGTTGCTCCCGGCTGTCCCCGTGGTCTGGGTGAGCAGCGTGTGTGTGTGTGTGTGTGTGTGTGTGTGTGTGTGTGTGAGAGAGAGAGAGAGAGAGAGTGTGTGTGTGTGTCCCTACACCTACCTGTCTGTCCATCCCTGCGTCCCCCGGCGTTGAGGGGTGCGCTGTCCCTAGGGTTCACACGGTAGAGGAGGGTTCTCCTGTGAGTCTCCGTCTGTCTGTCTGGTGTGCCTGTGCGTTGGGGAGCAGGTGACCTGAGCCACTTCCTAAGAAAAGAGCGCATCCCTCGCCCTCCTCCAGGGGTAGGGAACCCAGTGCTGGGGGAGGTGCGGGGGTCTCCAGGCCCCCAGCCCTGGATTCCTCCCCAAGCCCTCCCAGTCACTCCACTATGGAGCCACCAAGAGGCTGCTTTCAGGTCGACGGGAGAGGGGAGCTGGGGCGCATCCTGGGCGAGCCCTTTGTGCCCTATGTGCCATAGGCACTTGGAAGACTCCTGCTCCCCTGGGTCAACCCACTCCGGTTGCCTGCCCTCTTGAATGAGGGGCCCACGGCTCAGGTTCGCACTGAGCCCAGCCAGCTGCAATAGCAGGTCCTGACTGTTATAGGCAGGAAAACCTTGGACCCACTGGGAGCCAAGCTGCGGCCCCGTCTTCACTCGTTTATTCAGTTCATTCCGTCTTTCATCTCATCTGCACATTCCTACCCTGCACCCAGCGTTTGCCTGGCTCTGTTCCAGGCACCCGGGATTCAGCAATAAAGACCGAGCCTCCCGGGCTGCTGAGAGGCCAGGCAGACTCAGCAGGCAACTGTTCCAGGAGCATTGCTGGGAAGCTGGAGCCGCCACCCGACAGCCCTGCCCTGCCCTTGGTGATGGGCATGGCCCGGGGTGGGGGGCAGGAGCTGCCAGCAGGGAGGGGCTGCCTGCCAGGAAGGCCAGGAGGTGCCCAGAGGCAACACCTTCAAGGTCTTTGTAGAAGGAGCTGGCAGATGGTGTGGGCGTGGAGAGGGCCTGCCAGGAGAGGACCCAGCCCGGAACAAAGAACAGATGTGAGATGCCCATCAGACCTGGGGACCTGTCCACTGGGCGTCCTGAGGCTCAGCACGTGCCCCTCGGGTGTGTCCCAAGAGCCAGCCCGTGGGGACAGTCCGGGCACAGTGAATTACTGGGCACACAGACACACGGGCATGAATGAGCTGCGGAGGCCTGGTCTCTGGGCAGAGAGTGAGGTGTAGGGCAGTCCCCAGGCATCTTTCTACACACTCATCCCCTTAGCTGCCTTCATTTTCCTTCTTAGAATGCATTACCTGCACTGGGCAGAACCTGCGGCCTGTCTCTCTCACTGCATCAAAGTGTCTTTGAGAAGGGCTTTGTCTTGTCCCCTGCTAGCTCCAGCTTGTAGAACAGTAGTGCCCAGCACATAATAGGTACTCAGGAAAGATGTGTAGGATGGATGGATACATGAGCGGATGGATGGATGGACAGATAAGTGGACTACGGCTGTAAAGAGAAGGCTGTCTAAGTTACCTGCCTGTTCTGTCTTCTCCTGTGGCTTTTCTCGCACTCCATCACCCTGATTTCTCACCTACCACAGCAATTATTTTTACCATCTTTTTTAGTTCTGAGCCCCCTAAAGACAGAATAACATCTGACTCGCTTTTCTCTCTGGCATTAAGCATGTGCTTTTCTCAACCCACTGGAGATAGACAGCAAGGTGAAACTCACAGCTGTGACAAGGGCGTGAGGACCCAGAAGAGGGAGAAGCTATGGCTGGCAAGTGGCAGGAACCCCATGAGTGCCCCAGGCCCCATAAACACCAAACCACTTTTATTTCACAGCACAGTTTTACAAGGCACGTTCCCACCTGTTACCTCTTTTCATAAATCAGTCCAAATCCACATGGACTTGCAGGAAAAGTAGCATCAGGCGTGGTTAGGTGGGGCCCGTCTTAGGTCAGTTTTCAGGACTTGAATCCAGTTCTATCATTTACTGCTGTGTGACCCTCGACAAGCTACTAAACCTCTCTTGGCCTCAGTTGCTTTGTCTAATAAAATGAAGCTCTTAAAAATGACCATGCTTACAAACTTTTATGAGAACAAAATAAACTGCTGCATGCACAGCTCTTTGGGAAGTGGCTGCCATTTTGATTTCCCTAAGATACTGTGCATGTCCCCTGATCACCTACTGTGTCCGCCCTGAGCTGAGACTATGGCAGAGGCGGTGAGCTGTGGGTCCAGCTCCCTTCCGTGTAGTGGCCTCTTTCCAGGAACAGGCTGCACAGCCTCGGCCTCTACATCTTTGTGCCGCCTGGGAGCCATGCGGAGGATGGCAGAGCCTGGCAGCCTGGACCCCAGGGGCAGGTGGAGCCACTTGTTCAGCTGGGGCTAAACTTTACATTGGGCAAAGCCACCAGGACCTTGAGATGTGCTTGTCACAGCAGCTAACTTAGATTAATGCATTGATCACCAAGGTAAATAACACTCAGCATCTTCCGAAAACAAGTGAGACTCCTGTCTCGGCGATCTTCATTCTGGGTTTCTTTGTTGTTGTTTTTGGAGACAGAGCCTTGCTAAATTCTTCTGGCAGAACTTAAACCTGCAGTCCTCCTGCCTCAGCCCCCTAGAGTGATAAGTGATTAATTACAGCATATGCAAACTTTTCCTGCTCTCCATTCTTCCTAATAAGCAATGAAATGTCATTTTCCAGATGCCAAACACACTTTGGTCAAAGGACACAAAGTTGTAGCTAGAAAGAGTAAATTCAAGAGATCTATTGTGCATCGTGACTACAGTTAACAACCTATGATATTCTTGAAAAATTCTGAGAGTAGACTTTAAGGGTTTGTGCCACCAAAAAAAAATGTGAAGTAATGCATATGGAAATTAGCTCAAGTTAGCCAGTCCATAGTGTGTACATGTTTCAAAGGATCATATTATACAGAATAAATACAGTTTTGTATACTTATAAAAACTATAAATCACATGAATAAAGACGTTAGTAAAAACATTCTCTGATCTCTGCAACTTGAAAGCCTCTAGCTACAGTAAGCAGAAATCCAGCTTCAGTCACTGCAAGGGACAATCAGAAACTCCCCGTCCCCAGAACTGCCATTCCTAGACTCAAAGGGTCCTTGACTGTAGAAGGAATGGGTCTGAGGAAACCTCCCAACAGCATATCTTGTGCACTTTCCTCAAGCCCGCCCGCAAAGAATCTGCGGCCACACCATGGTGACCGTTCACCCACAGAGGTCAACACAAGGTCTTTTTCCTGTTCAAATGATGTAGAAGAGCTGTGAAGCCAATGTGGGATATCCCGCTTACCTTCTATCCAGCCTTCCCTAACACCTCACGTACTATGGTACATGTGTCAAAACCAGAATATTAATATTGGTAGAATACTGTTAACTAGCTGGGCGGGGTGGCACAAGCCTGGAATCCCAGCACTCTGGAAGGCTGAGGCAGGTTTGAGCCCAGCCTGAGCAATTTCTCAAGACCCTGTCTCAAAATAAAAAATAAAAATTTAAAAAACCTACGGATATAGTTCAGTGTGAAGCTCCTGGATTCCATCCTTAGAATAGGGAAAACTAATACCACTAAGCTAGAGCCATTTAGCTGCTCTTCCCACTGCTGCGGTTTTTCTATGCAAACCTTTTGGTCAACTCGACACACAAGCCTAGTAGATTCCCTGCTCACTTCTCCTGCTGGGGTGTCAGGTGCAGGACACAGGGAGGGCTGTTCTGTGGAATCCATGACAACGGTCAGACTCTCCCCACCCCCCGTATGAAGCATATAGATGAGAAAGCTCAAAGCAGGGTGATGGGAAGGGAAGATGACTGCAATCTCGGAATATGGGTGCGATCCAGCGAGGACAGATCCCAGCCCTCCTTGCTGGACAGGGTCCAGGACGATCATTAACCCCTGGAATCACTGTCTCCTGGGCAGACAGCCAAGCGTCGGATGCCTGGTCAGCAACTCAGGGTTGGTCTCTGCTGCAGCAGAAAACACCATCTGAATTAGCTCTACAATATCTAGGGCTCAAATCAGGAAGACTAACACGTAGACTGAATATTCCTCCAAAAATCACAGCAAGTGGGGCCTCTGAGACATGATTAGGTCACGAGGGCAGGAAGGATCAGTGCCCTTATGAAGGAGACCCTTTCTGCCATGTGAAGTAACAGTGCAAAGATGACCAACCATGCGGACCAGGCCCTCACCAGATACCACATCTGCTGGCGTCTTGATCTTGGACTCCCGCCCCACCCAGCCTCCAGAACTGCGAGAAATGCATGTCGGTTGTTTGTGTGCCAGCAAGCCTGTGGCATTTGTCACAGCCGCCAGAGTAGACTTCAACGGCCAAGGGTGGAACAGTCTGCAAGCTCCTTTTGTCACATCCCCGCC